GTGTGAGAGAGAGAGAGAGAGAGAGAGAGAGAGAGAGAGAAAACACTCGGTAATGCCATCTGTCTGCATTCAGGTACTAAGTGAAAGGTTGGCAGTTCAAATCTGTCGAGCAGACCCACAGAAGACAGACCTGGGATTGATGCCCATAAGATTGCAGTCCCTGATACTTCCATGGTGCTCTACTCTGATGAACGTGGAGTCGGAATCAATTAGAATGAGACAGGTTTGGGGCTGTTTGTTTGCTTGTTTGCTTGTTTTATAAGCGGAAGCTTTCTATTCCTATAAAGAGTTCGTCTCAAAACCCAGGGGGCAGTTCTACCCTAGCCTATAGCGTTACTATGAGTCAGAATGGATTCGATTTCAGTGAGTCAAACCTATCATAGGCAAATAAGACATTAGAATCCCAGCCTACTAGGGCATATCACACGGAATCACCAAAGGTATTTATCAACTCGGTACATACCAGAGGAGCCCTGGTGGCATAGTGGGTTATGCTTGAGTGACTGACCCAAGGTCAGTAGTTCAGAGCTACCAACTGCTCCGTGGGAGAAAGATGAGCCTTTCTACTCCCATAAAGAGTTATAGTCTCAGAAACCTACAGGGACACTTTTATTCTGTCCTGCAGTGTCGCTATGAGGCTTTCGACCCTGGTTATGAATTATGGCCTTGGAAACCCACAGGGGCACTTCTTCTTTGTCTTGTGGGATTTCTGCGAGTGGGACTGGACTTGGCGGCAGGGAGTGTGGTGGAATTTGAGTGAGTACTTTCTGTGGCTATAACATCCTTGTCTTTCCTATGGGCGCTCGTGTCATGTTCATCGTTATGTATTAGGAAACCTGCACTTGGGCCATTCTGTGTTTGGATGTTCTTCGTGTAGCTAAACCAGGCCTTTTCCTTTCATTTTTCAGTCTCCTGGTTGCAGCCTTTGGGGGAAGTTTAGGCCTTTATTAACAACTAGGACATCTGACTAAGAGTCACTCAACCTTGTCTTTGTGGCCTTGTCCTTTTTCATTGTGGACATTTCTTTCCGGAAAAGGACTCAAAATTCTCAGGACATGTACAAAACCCAATTAAGTCTCGGGGTCCATCCAGGCTTTGTGGAATCCATAATGCCTCTGCTAATTTGGGACGATTACAAAGTAGCCTGGCCTTCTCGTGCTAATGGTATCATCGAAACGGGCAAGCAGGATGCTTTTGTTATGAAGAACCGTTGCAGTTACAGGAGGACCTGAAAATAGCTACAGTATGTCTTGTACAATAAATCCACTGTTCACATTGTGCAAACATCTGCTGGTCTATTACCATAAAATGACGCTTCGCATAGCCCAGATCACATACCTTCTTTCTCTGGTGCCTATCGTGGACACCCCCTGAGTCTTTACCGGACCTGAAATCTAGACATCTGGTCAGAAGACAGAAGAAGGGATGCGGGGAGTGCGGAGTGGGGACCCAAAGCCCATCAGTAGGCCACTGGAGATCCCCTTGCAGAGGGGTCACGGAAGGGGATGAACCAGTCAGGGTGTGATGTAACAACGATGAAAAATACAACTTTCCTCTAGTTCCTAAATGTTTCCTCCCCGCTCCCACTACCATGACTCGAATTTGACCTTGCAAGTCTGGTTAGACCAGAGGATGTACACTGGTACAGATAGGAACTGGAAACACAGGGAATCCAGGGCAGATGAGCCCTACAGGACCAGTGGTGTGAGTGGCGAAACAGGGAGGGTAGCGGAAGAGTGGGTAGGAAAGAGGGAACCGATTACAAGGAACTATATGTGACCTCCTCCCTGGGGGATGGACAACAGAAAAGTGGGTGAAGGGAGACGTCGGACAGGGCAAGATATGACAAAATAACAATTTATAAACTATCAAGGGCTCATGAGGGAGGGGGGAGCGGAGAGGGAGGGGGAAAATGAGGACCTAATGTCGGGGGTTTAAGTGGAGAGGAAATGTTTTGAGAATGATGAGGGCAATGAATGTACAAATGTGCTTTACACAATTGATGTGTGTATGGATTGTGATAAGAGTTGTATGAGCCCCTAATAAAATGATAAAAAAAAAAAAAGACAGAAGAAGGGTACCTTGTATTCTGTCAGGTGGAATTCCAAGATGTTATCAATAATACTTGGTCTGTCTCAGACTCTAATCAACCACATTTATTCAACCAAGTACTGTGCTAGGGACCAAGCCCGTTGCCACTGAGTGGATTCCAACCCAGTGACAAGCCTGTGTCTGTCAAAGGAAAACTGCAGGCCACAGAGCTTCCCAAGGCTGTGGCCTTTCAAAAGCATACCATTGGGCCTTTGTGCCAAGACACAACAAGGCAGACTTGAGCCACCAATCTTTCAGTAAGTAGCTGAGTGTGCTGACAGTTGGCACCATCCAAAAAAGTGCTAGGTACAAGGGGTACATAAACAAAGAACCGACGGTCCTTTCTCTGTACTTATGCCATTGAGTCGATTCTGATCCATGACAACCCTCTAGGAGGGGCTGGAGCCAACCCTGTGGGGTTCTGAGGCTCGAACACATTCCAGGAATAGATAGCCTCATCTTTCATTTAAGGTGTGGCTACCGGTTTTGAACCACTAACCTTGCAGTTTAATAGCCTGATGCATAACCCACTATACCAACATGGCTCCTCCGCTTTGCTCGCTAGTAGATTTAAAATTTGAAATGTTACACGAATGAGCATAAAATGCAAGGCCTAGTCTGGAAGCCCACCTTGGCTCCTACAAATGATCTTCAAGTATTGGACCATTTAGGACATCCCAAATGTCCTACAAAATCCAGCACTTGAAGAACATCAAGAGTTATCGCATAATATAAGGAGCGCATTCATTTTCCCTGCCCTTGCCTACACCCATATAAGCCCACTTTGAGGAGCACGAATCTTCCTGCCAAGCCAGCCATTCCCTTCCCACATGCAAAGGGGTCATCCACAAGATGAGACATTTTACCTTTAAGGTGCTATTCAAGGTTCGGATCTTGTGGAGTTTCTCATTTATAGATGGATTTTTGGACCGCTTAACAAAGGATTTTCTCAATTCCTTTTTGGTGGATGGCCGTCTATCCCCGAGAGGAGATAAACTCGCCTGCTCTAAAGATTTGTAGAGCTTTTCCATTTCATCATCTTCAGAAGCTTTTGTTTCTTCTGTAAAGGAAAGCAAACATGAAAAATCCAGTTAGCCTCCGGGAGGACATTTGGCACTGTGGTGTGGAATCCTGGGCAGGGAACAGAGAAAGCTACCTTGCAACACAGTTTCCAGAGTCCCCCATTCATGTACGGACCCTTCCACTGCCCAGTAAGAGTCCCAGGCCCATGGTAACAGTTCCCAGAGTTCCCCATTCATGTATGGATCCTTCCACTGCCCAGTAAGAGTCCCAGGCCCATGGTAACAGTTTCCAGAGTCCCCCATTCATGTATGGACCCTTCCACTGCCCAGTAAGAGTCCCAGGCCCATGGTGACAGTTTCCAGAGTTCCCCATTCATGTACGGACCCTTCCACTGCCCAGTAAGAGTCCCAGGCC